CAACAGCTTTATAACTAATTGGTTTCTCTGGAAATGTTCCTGGTGAAAAAGTTTGCCATAAAACTTCCCAAAGTTCTTCTTGTTCATTCCATGGTCGCTCATATAATAAAGTCCCAGTATAATGCCAAATTTTAAAACTATATAACAAATATTCATTGAATATGAATTAATATCCAATTATTAATATAATATAATTGTAATATAATTGTAATATAAATTATAAATTATTTACCCATTGCCCATTCGAAGCCTAGGTGCAGTAGTTGCAGTCATAAAATGTTCTCCATCTGGTGACCATTGAAGAAGCGTTGTATCAGGAGCTTCAGTTTTTGCAATTAATTTTCTGTTACCAACATCCCATAATTCGATACCACCACGGAGGTTGCCAAATCCAGTCAAAATTAGAAGTACAAAGTGGTTAAGAAAATATAGTTACTAATAAAGATAATTTCAATTAATTAAAAGAATTAAATAATTTTAATACATAATGTAAACAATATTTTAAAGTAATTAAAGGATATTATTTCCCTGAGGATTGTAATAAATGCTATTTCGATGCAGAGAACCAAACTCAAATATTGGTTCACATTTAAGATTAAATAATGTGGCTTTAGCTGGCATAAAATCATATACAACACAGAATTCATTATTTTTAGGAGACCACTGAACAGCATGTATGGGACCTTTATTACCTAATTAAAAAAAAAAAGAATTTGTTTTAAAGATAAAAAGATAAAAAAATATTTCATAAATATTAATAATAATTAATAAAACAACTTACTAAGCATAACCAAAGCAGTTTCTCCTTTTGTACTAAGATAGTGTAAAGTCTGTTTTCCATAATATGAAGCACCTGTTTTATCAACTTCTGTACTTGTCATTAATAAGACATTTGTTCCATTATTATTCCAATAAATGTTTACTCTGTCCGCCTAAAAATGATAGTTTCAGAAAAGATTTCATATATATATATATATGTATATATATGTATATATATATATAAACTTTTTAATAATATAATACCTGAAAAAAACTTTTATTTGCTAAAGCTTGTGTGGACTCAAACTTTGGATATTGAAATAGTCTCCCAAATGAAGGTTGATCCGATTTTCCTATAATGTATAATAATACTATTTATAATAATTAATTGATCTGGTATTTAAATTATAATTGTAATGTAGTATTTTATACGGAATTATATAATTTATTAATTTGGTATTTAATGTGGAGAGTATTTATTTGTCTTACAAAGATATGATATTAAATTTAATTTCGAATTTGATTTAGAAATATCTAAAAATTGTAAGTATTTGAAACAAAAAAATAATTACCTGTTAAATATATTTTATGATTCCCTAAAACTTTATAAAAGTACTTACATATAAAAATGAGCATGCAATAATCAGGAAAATTTCCCATTACTGTTGATCCTGATTAAATATTCATACTTGTATATTTTGCAAAATACCATTATTAATATTCTGTTGTACTTCTTTAAAATATTAAAGTATTCTACAGATATAATTATCTTATAATCTTCATTCCATTTGTGTATTACATGCTTGCCACACATATTTGCTTCATAATGAGAGAAACTGAAATAAAAAAGTATTTCATAAAATATGCCAATTTTTTACATGACTTATGCTTGAACTATATTACTAATAAACATTTTATATATTTTGATCAATCAAATAGAATTACTAATTATCATTTTTAAATCATAATGTTTATTATCTTAAAATTTTTGTAACTTCTCTTAATTTTTATGAAGCACCAATGTTCATCATAATTATCTTAATAAATAACAACGAAGAAAATGATATACTCTCCACATATAAGTACCTTGATATATATCATACATGCACTTGTTTAATTTAAAATTAAATAAATACAACAAAATTTAATTACCCGGCATATAACAGAGAATATAGTATGGAGTATTACTTGGTGATATACTAAATTTAGCAACTTTGGCTACATTTATTCTGTACATAATCTTATTAAAATTCACATCTTCATATAGAATGACATCTGCACCAACTAACATCCCACAGACTTTTTCATCACTTGTCCACTGAGGTTCCCTAGATAGATATTTTATAAATGTAGCTATAAGATATAAGATAAATAAGTTTTCACTTATTTAAAAGAAGTAAACAGTTTTTCTATGTTCAGAATTTTTTTAATTATTCAATGTGAAATTTTGATAAAATAATAAAATATCTCTAAAATATCTTTAAAATATAATATTTATAAAAATTATATTTGTAAGAAATATAATTTTATATTTATTATAATGTATTTATAAAAATTATATATTTTTTTGATGATATCAATTATAAAACATTAAAAGAAAAAACAAATAAAAATTTATTATTAAAAATAATTTTTAATAATTAATAAATTTAATATAAATTTTAATTAATAATTAAAATAATTAATTTAATAAAACAATTATGCAATACATTACCAATCTGATTGTTTTTTCTGTATAAAACTCTTCACCAGTTCTCCAGTCTCTGATTTCCATATATGAAGATTTGCTATTCCTTGAGGATTTGACGTTGTTGCTATAATATATAAATTGACAATATAAATATTTTTTTTATAGTCAATAATCAATAAATTAGTAAATAAATATTATAATTTTTAAATATTTATTCAATTTAGATAAAAAAAATAAAATTAAAAAAATATATTTTTATTATCAAACTAAAAAATTCAAAAATTAAATTTAAGAAAAAACAAAAATAACTAAAATTAAAATAATACCAATGAATGGTTCCCATGTCATAAAATATGTGCTTCGAGTGGAGAATTGAATTGCAGAAATTTTGGGCCTTTTGATTTCTGTAATAATTTTCCATGTAGAACAATGTAAAATCTTGGCAGTCATTCCATTGATCCATGCAAAATAACGTCCTTCTGGGCTAAAAGCCATTGCTTTACATGTTTTACTGTCATCTTTAGGAAATGATTTTACTGGTTCATACGATGGTGGGCCTTGTCCTAAGCTGATTCCAATGGAACCTCTTACTAAAGAAAATTAATTATGCAATTTTAAAATTTTTGTATTACTAAATTTGATAATATTTACAAACTTATATAATTAATTTTATTAATAAAAAAAAAATATAAAATAAAAAAATCATATATATTATAAAATAATTTTATACATTATAATTAATCTTCAAGATAAATTTAAATATTTATGAATTATTTATAAAATTGAATGAAACTGTCAAAAACAAATATTATACATAAATGCATCTAATAGTAAATACATTCTTATAATGAGATACTATATGACGCATTTTTTAATCATAAATGTGTTCCAGTAATACAATGCCACATGACGCATTTTTGTGCAATCAGTCGTGGTGTAATATGAAACTTGTAAAGTATATTATAGATAGATATACATTCTACATTTGCTGATAATATTTATAAAAAAATGTCAGTAAAAATTTGATTTTAAGATAAGAAGATTATTAATAAACACAACACAAAAATTCTTACCAGCGACACAAGGAACATTTAACGCCATTTTACCTCCGTTACCATGTGGTACCGTAATATCGAGTATCGACCACTCTTGCCAGACTCAGGAATTTGTCCCTTGAAAAGGATTTCTTGCACATGCGTCGCCAACATCGTATGCAAGAAACACGTGCGCCAGTGCCGTAGAAACTAGGGTACATTCACAAAAATTTCTTTATCATTCAACTAAATCTTAAGAAAAACATAAATATTTATGTGATATAATAAAAATAAATATTTAAAGTACATAGATATATATATTCATTGTCAAATACATTTAAATTGAATAAAATATTATGTAATATTTTGATATTAAAAAATATCAATCATCTATTTGAATATTGAATATAAATGGCTGTCAAATAACTACGCTTGCGCAAATTTTGAACTAGTGACTCCAATATCGACTAGTTTTCTCGATTATGAATGATTATTGTTTAGCAAATCGACTTTCTCACTTTTTTGAAATATATTATCATTTTTTTTTTATTTTAATATAATACTAATTATAATATTAAATATAATACTTTATTGTAATGTTATATTATATGTAAGTCATTTATTTATAATTTTGTATTTATTAAATATTATTCAAATCTAATTATATATATATATAATATATATATATATATATAAATTTCAAAATTACATATCTAACTTTCAGATAAGATATGTATATATTTTTGTAAATAAAGATTCGTGCCATTATTAAAAATTAAATATTTAACTTTTAATTATTATACTTATTAATTAATTTTAAAATCATTTATTATATATGACAAAAAATACGTACGAATATTAAATATAAAATTTTAATTTAATATAAAAAATTAAATTCAAGAAAGAAGACAAAATATTTGCTGATACAACATACATACATTAATACAAATATATTTTAATTATGTCATTGAATAAAAAACTTAAAATTGAAAAGAGTTTATTGAACACCCTATATTTGGCAGAAATTATATGTCAGCATCGTCTTGCGTGGGGTATGGCAAGTTCATGTTTTAGGTGACCATCGTAAATTTTATATTGCTTGTTATTAACATTATAATTATATACTTTACAAATGTATATAGAAATTACGAATAATATAATTAATTTAACATAAATAAAAATGTTTTTTACTTTTGTTTCGACTTAAGGTTATCTTTTATGAAAACAATTTAATATTATAAAAAGAATGAATAATAATAATTTAGTTGATATATTTCTTAATTAAAATTTATTATTATTTTTCATTTATATTCATCAATATATTTTAATTTTATAATTTATTATATATTATATATAAATTTCTTTTTTTCTTTTTATAATATATAAAAATATATAATTTTTTTAATATAATTATGTATTTCTTTAATATATTTATTAGCAATGTGGATGAATATGGTTTTGAAAGACCTCATGATTTTGACTATGAAACTTATGAAGATTTTATGTCAGAATATCTCAAAGTACTTGCTAAAAGAGCAAAAAAATGGTCTGAAATCATTGGAGAAGGAAAATCATTACAACGAAATATTACAATAAAAAGATATGTTCGTAAAGGTATACCAGGAGAACATAGAGGATTAGTAAGTATAAGATTCATATTTTAATTTATTTTATAAATATATAAAAAGAAAAAATTTGATTCTTAAAGGTATGGTTGTCTGTTAGTGGAGGAGAAGAATTAAAAAATGTAGATTCTGATCTTTATCAAAGGCTATTACAACCTCCACACAATAAACAAGTTGCAGATGTCATAAAAACTGATTTACCACGAACTTTTCCTGATAATATATTTTTTAATAATACAGAAAATCAACAATATCAATTATATAATATTTTATTAGCATTTGCTCATCAGAATAAAACAGTAGGATATTGTCAGGTATATTAAATTATTCTAATAATATTTATAACATATTTTTTATAATAATATAATTATAACAATATAATTTATATAAAAAATATTTGATATTTTTATAGGGCTTAAATTATATAGCAGGTTTATTATTACTTGTTACAAAAAATGAAGAAACAGCATTTTGGTTATTAAAGATCTTAATAGAAAAAATTTTACCTGATTATTATACACCAACGATGGATGGCCTACTTACAGATATTGATGTTCTTGCAGAATTAGTCAAGTAAGTCTTTTAAATCTTTAATATAAGTATATAAATTATACATATATATTTATATAAATATATAAAATTTTATTTTAGAATAAAAATGCCAGATATTTATCAACATGTAACAAATATAGGTTTACCTTGGGCAGTTATTACAACGAAGTGGTTTGTGTGCTTATTTGCAGAAGTATTACCAATTGAGGTAAAGTTGATTGTATATGTTTTTTAAAAATAAAATTCATAAAATTGATATTTTTGATGTCTTTTAACATTATTATATGTGGTGTGTACACAGTTGATTCATTCATTAGTTTAACATTTTGAATTAATACCTGTTTGGATTGCCATAAAATATAGAAGTATTGAATAAAATATTTACAACTTGGCAGACTACGCTGCGTATATGGGATTGTCTTTTTTATGAAGGCAGTAAAATTATATTTCGTGTTGCATTAACTCTGATAAAAAGGAATAAATGCAACTTGCTTGCTTGTCAAGATTTTACAACATTAGCAGAATGCTTTAAAGAAATAACAAAAGATAGTATTGTTTTAAAATGTCATGATTTTATGCAGGTAAATATATTTTTTTATTTTTTGTTATATATTATACATATTAAATGTTTTTTAACAAATGTAATTCATACTATATATTTTGTTTTTTTTTTATTAGAGTATATTTAAAGTACCTGGATCACTGCCTGGTAGCACAATTATAAAATTAAGAACTAAAATATCACGGCAACATGCGGAACAAAAAGAAAATAAATTAGGACGATAATAATGAGATTTTATCTATTGAAAGATTCTAGTCAATATATTATTTTATTGTAACTCCTAAAAAAAACGAATGTACTATATAAGATTATAATGTTACATCTACAGTATTTCTTTCTGTAAATATAAATTTAGTATAAAAGTAAAAAATTACACATCAATAATTTATTACATTGATTTATATTGATTTATAAAATTTTTTATACATTTATTATTTACAATGTACGAACTAAGTTTATTATATATATTATAAAATTTTAATATATTTATTGTATTAAATCATATGTTATATTTTTATTAATATAATTTTTAATTTAACATAAATATATTAAAAATATAAATATAAAATTAAAGGAATCATAAATGTATAAACAATTTTATTACATATTAAATAAAATATTTAAAATCATTATATTATTAAATATATACATAAAAATTTACTTGAAATTAAATTTATAAAACTACATATAATAAATTTCATGTACACTATTTATATTCATACATTTAACTATTATTTTTCTAATAAATCTTTTGCTTCGTTAATTTTTGCTGCAATATACGGAGATCCACCTCGATCTGGATGATTCACAGCCATGATTTTTTTAAATTGCTGTTTTACTTTCACTTTACTTGCAGTTGGTGAAACATCCAAGATTAAACTAGCTTCACGTCGTGTCATTTTAGATTCAAAACCACCTTTATAATATTTATTGTTTGCTAAAGTCTATTACGACATATTTTCATTAATTCATTAATACATATATGTACATATATTTATATAAATATAACATAATATTTAATAAGTTTACCTTTGGATTTAATTTTGGTACATTTTTATAAGCTTCTGCCATTTTTTGAGATAAATGTGGCATTTTTTTAATTATATAACGTCCTGTAAAACCTACTACAGCAAGACCCAAGCCTGTTGCAATAAGTGTACTGGCCTGCAAATATCAGAATTGAATGCTAAAAATATGTTTTACAAATTTCTTTTTATTTTTATATAATCGAACAAAAATGTCATTTGTTAAAAAATATATATTAATTTAAAGATATATTTCTGGAATAATTACACGCGTTATCTTCATAACCTCATATATATTTAAAATTTTAAATATTTTTGCTCCTTTCTTTCTTTTTTTTTCTTTCTCTTCTTTTTATAAATAAAAATATTTATAAAATCATAATTTTTTTCACTGATGATAAAATTGTGATGAAATTTATATGCATATATAAACACAAATTCTTCATAATTGTATATACAATTACAATTCACGAAACAATTTTAATTTAATGAAAAATAAAAGTTTTCGAATATTATAAATTTTTATATAACAATAAAAATGATATAACAATAATAAATTATTCTATAAAATCACTCATTTTAATTTGATCTTACCATTTCAATAAAGTTGTCAAAACAATGCAACACTGACTTAAAATTAAATGTTAATAATTTTCTTCAATCAATGAAAAAATATTAAAAAAAGACAATCGACTGATTATAATGAAGTTTATTTCAATTGTGGATTCAGTTTTATATTCTTTATAAATTCATGTATATTTACCCATATTATAAATTCTTCTTCTTCAGAAGAGAATGTAAAATAAATATAAGAGAAATATTATGTTATATAGTATAAAATTTGTTTACAATAAAATGCTAAAATTTTAATATTATCATTAAAAAGTTGAAACTGTTCTCCATACAAGAATAGCAATATTGCCAGCATTATACATGTATAATAATGATGTTGCTTGATATGTAACTGCACAAGCATATGATTCTCCAATGACAACATGAAATGGACCTCCAAATCTATTATCTAAACTTTCTTTAATACTTCGAGCTGCTAATTCATGGTTATCAGTATATTTTTCCGTTGCAGTAACACATATTTCTATTGCTTCTTGTTTCATTTCTTCTCGCATATCACTATACTATAGTTTAAATAAATTATAATATTATTGCAATTTTAAATATCTTATAACATAAATTAAAAAGGTAAACTTACTTTACATAAAGGATACGTATGAAATATTAAAGGTTCTTCTGTCTTTTTTACCTCACCTGCAGACATTTTTGATTATTGAAATTATTGAAAAAATTTATTTTTATTAGAAAATATTACGACAAAAAATTCCAGCAATGTATTGAAATATTAACTAATGTATTTCAAAAATTAACTTTAAGATTCAAAATAAAAAATTAAATACGATATGTATCTAGTCAATGTATTTCATTTGTTATTTTATATAATACAAATATAATAAACGAATAAAATTACAAATAAAGTAAAATTCAATTTTATAGATTTATATTCGCATCCAAATAATTTTTCATAAAAAAATTCACTTATATTTTATGATATTTATAATTCGAAAAAAATATAATATAAATTGATTATTATTAATGTAATAATAATGTTTATTCTTGAATTTAAAAAGATTTATGTACAAATTAAAGAGAATATTCTTTTGAAAACGACCAATAACTCGTAAGAATATCAGAAAGTCTTAATCTTTGAAAGGATTGTAATGAAAGCTTAAATAACCGCTTTATTTTTGGCGCGAAGTTGTTTTATAGTTATGTTTAAAGAAAAGTACCAAAAAATAGTGTTCTATTGAAAAATTATACACAATTATCAAAAGAAGGTATAATATTATGATATTTTTACATATAATAATATAAAAATATGATATTTTTTAAAACATAACAAAAACATATATGTATATAATAATATAAAAAATTTAAAAAAATTTTAATTTGTTATTGATTAAATAACTTACATGTAATTGTTTTATAATAATAATAGTAATAATAATAAATAAAGTTTATTTTCTGTGATTTATTTAATTTTAAAATATATAATTCATAACCTATAAATGTTAGCGGTAACTTGTTAATCAAAATCAAAAATTTCTATATATATATATATATATATATATAATTAAATTCATTTAAAGTTAAATATATATATATATATCTATGTATATT